TGCTCCCTGCAGATCTTTGACGTTTTGGTAAACATGATGTCATAACTCTGAGGGGAACAAATTGGCGGGATCCATTTTTGTGCCTTGTTTAACCCGAGCGTTGTGATTCTGATGGTGCATAGTTTAATGCTGACCGTATGTTGATCTGTTTACGTAACGGGCAGCCTTCTGAGGAATAGTATTCTTTCATGAAAGCGACTGTAGTGCGCGGGCAATCCCACGGGCCACCGTCGCTCTTCGTAAAAGACCAGTTCAGGCCCACGATCGTGTTAAATCTTTTCCTCTCTAGCTATTTCACGTCTTTTTAGCTATTTTAAGCTGTTGTCCCGGAATCATATCCATCATTGACCTTCTGTTATTAGAGTTTCTGTAAAGAGGTTTTCTGTACCTTCTGTAATTAGAGTTTTAGTGAGTTAACCCTCTTTTCAGAATGGGTGGTTTATTCAGTAAGAAAACACCGCATCCGCCAAAGAACTGCGAAATTACGGAACAAGACCAGGCCATCCTGGTTTGTCAAATTGAAAATTTACTTTAAAATGACTATCGGAGAAGATCTCTCCATGCTCCGTGAGTATTGCCTGTTTAGTATATGAAGTGGGTTGAAAATTTACAGCACTGACCTCCGCTGGGTAATGACACCATGCCTAGATTTTTCAGTTGTTACGGGTTCCCAGTCACTTATGTCACGAATCACTTCTAGTTTCGTGCAGATATCGCAGCCTTAGGTAAATGAAGGAGCACTTGAGAATACGCGGAATACTTGCCCCCCTCCCTCCCCACAATAGTTTTTTGCAGTTAGGGTTAGCTGTAGCTCCGTCATCTTTACTTTCGGAAGGTAGCTATATAGGTTTTTGGCAAAGCGATCTGGATTTTTCAACAGAAGTTTTCCCAAATTAATTTTTTTAGCAACTGAAAACCCAGAGAGACAAAATCAAGCAGTTTGTTCGACGAAAGGAAAAATGCATGGAGCGTGAAAGAGAGCTCGCTCGGCAGCTACTTAAGGATGGGCGGAAGGAGTAAGTTATTTTTTCATTTTTATTTCTCAATCCTATTTTACTCATTGAACTTGCAGTCGGGCGCTCCTTCTGTTGAAAAAGAAACGATACCAAGAGAATGTTATCGAAAGAACACTCAAGCAGTTGGACAATATAGACAGAATGGTAAGTCCCTTTCGCACGAAAACTTCTTGACTTTCCTTTTCCACTGTTCATCATTAAATGCAGTCTTCTTCTAAGCATCGTAAAGTAAATAAGAACTTCATGAAGCGAAAATATTCGATAGGCTTGAAAAAGCATCATTTTTGAGAGGCGTTACGAGTTGTTACGCTACGCTGCGATCTGGCCTATACAATGACTTGAGGAGGCCAGGCAATGTAATGAGTGCTTTATAATTTTTTTATACTTCCACAACTTCCAAACAAAACGGCCTTGTCACATTGCTCGTTGCGGTCAGATCTTAATTTATCATTTCGGTTTCAAGCCTCCGCCTATGGTTCAGAATGGCTATCACGCACTTGTCCGATGTTCTTTTACGGGTGATGCAGGATTTCATTCAACATTTCGGATCTCTCAGGGATAGCGATGGGTACGGAAGGACGAGGGGCCATACTAGAGGGTCAACCATCACGTCGCGAGAAATGCGTAGTGGGTATGGTCACCACAGAAGCGGGTGTCCACATGATCTTCCCTCTCCCTATAGGTCGTTCGAGGTATTTATCCTAGATCTGCTTCTGCGTCGTGTTGGGAGAATGGAGCGCTGCATGGCACAACTGGAAGAAGTAGAGCATTACTCGCAAGCGATCTCTTGTTAAGCCGTAGGTTTAATTCGTGATCGCTTGGAAGGGCCTACCTGAAATACGCTAATTATCGTATAGCTGGCGTGGCAGCTTCGATTCAAGAATCACGCGGAAGTCTTTGGCAAACACGTGTTTTTCACCTTCGAGTGGGCAGCAATTTCGTCCAGGCACAACGCAAGGGAAAAGACCTGCCAAACTCAGATGCAAGAGAATATACAGCTTTATAGCAGAAGAGTTCCTTTTCCATAAAACATGATGCTTTTATTGTGCTTTTGCTGAGCAACTTCTCCACATGCGCCCGCACTCAACTTCTCTTCTATTCTTATTCGTAGGTACACTGATAGGAATATGGGCCCTTTGAAAGAACGTTCTGGACTAGCTGATGCGTTGCTTCCTGGACGAACGTAACACATAGCTATTGTGTCCACTTACGCCTACACTATATGAATTTGCCATAACTTCTACTGCGATCCACTCGACGCTTCACTTGCTCGCTGCTCTCGAGTCTCGCTTTATGGCGAGACTCGGGAGCAGCGATGTCAGTGCCCCATTAACGCTACCCCTGTTTTACTGCCTTCTAAACATAAGAACCTTTCCCTTCCGGCAGATCACGATCGAGCCCCAAGTCGCAGATTCCTCGAAATGAGCTTGACCCTGCTTGATTGACCGTGGCTTGATTCAAATCCATTATTGTAAAGCGCTAGTCGATCTTTTCAAGTCGAAGCCCCTTCTTCTCGAACTACAGGTACTGAAACATATATTTTCTTATAAGTTATTTTATAGCCTACATTTTATAGCCAGCTTATAGGTACACGATTTGGAATTTGCTGATATTCAACAGCGAGTAGTTGAAGGCCTTCGCCAAGGAAATGACGCGCTCAAGAAGATGAACGCTGTGAGTTTTGCAAGGTTTTCTTTTACTCTGCATTTTTCTCAAAGATCATATTGTAGATCTTTGACATGGATGAAATCGAAAAACTAATGGAGGAAACAAAGGAGGCCGCGGAGTTTCAAGAGGTTTGAGTACACTTTTTCCTCTTTGGTTTTCTTCTAAATCTTCATTGACTCTTTTATTGCTAGCTGCACTTTTCATAGCATTTGTGTTTGAAGGTAAGATTTTGTAGGAAATTTCTGCACTTCTTACTGGACAATTGTCGACGACCGATGTCGAAGAGGCGGAGCATGAGTTGCAACAGTTATTGGCTTCTCAAGCAACCGACATTGTTCTACCAGATGCTCCAGCTCATGAGCTTCCTCACAGAGAAAGAGGTGAATTGTTGAAGTGAAATGTCTTAATCGTTTCTGAAGTGTTTCTCTTTTTTACAGAGAAAGAAACTGCCGGTAAGAAACGGAAGGCAGTTGAAATGGAAGTGTGATCTTCTGGAAGACGGTTTTTGTTGTATTCATTATTCCTTTCTTTTATGCCTGACTCTGTGATACTGTGCATATAACTGTAGATAAAGCTAATCTGCTCTCTTCATCTCACTATTTTCCCGTTGTTGCAGTCTTTGTGGAGTTCCATTGGTTCGATATCTAAAATTGACAGTGTCCATGTGCGTGGAATCGAGCCGGTCAGAGTAATCCCTTACTTCTCCTGAAAGAATACTTGATGGCTAATGGCTAAACGTAGTAAGCATCCTTAGGGACCAAAATTATTATTTCTCATAGTTTCTTTTCCGTCTGAGAGATTTTATGGTTTGGTTCTCGCTTAACTACTTTTTGATCATTCCCAAAATGGTGTTGTTATCATCGTTCTTTTTTGCATCCCCATGACATGCTATCGCGATGGGCGAAATGCCAAAACGCGAGTCCCAACGATCCCTACTTTTGTTGAGCGGGCCATAGCAAACCTGAAACGAGAGATTCACAGCTAGCCAAATGCGAACTGCTCCCCTCGATATCTTCTCGAAGATTTATGGTTTATGATTTATTATCGGCAAACTAGTTACAATGGTCGAGATAAATAACAGTGTATGAGAAAAAAACTCCGATAAGGTGAAAAACACTCATGGTAATACAAGACCTATAGCTGCAAGCAATGAGTGGAGAGGTAGTCAGCGCAGAAGGGCAGTGGGCCGCCAACACTGCAAGTCCATGGATACTCTTGTAGGAACTCCGGATACCAACTTAGTAGGTCCGCCAACTTTGCTGACTTAGCTGAGATCCAACTCCACTTGCCGCAGATTGATGAAAAAATCCAGTGGCATGAGGATGTACATTAAACAGGCAAAATACAAATACCACAAGCTATGAGCTGAAAAATATCTGAATGAAAAATAAGATGGGAGGCTGGAAGATTAAAACTTCGTCTGGATTGGGTCCGTTGTCCTGCCACATCCAGCTCTATGCTCCTGCACCGTTCACAAAAGCGTATTTGTTGAGTTCCTGTCAAGCAGTGAAGCGGAGCCTGTGTATCCGCCGCTGATCCCCTCTCATCTGCTCTCGTTGATCATCTTGTCGCGCGAGCGAGCGCCTGCAATGTCTCCATTCGTCCCTGCAGCGCGCTGGTGTCGACCAATGGGTTCCCTTTGCTCGAGGGACACGATGGACTTCATGTAATTCTTTCAGAGCTTTCACGAAGAAGTCTGACGAAAGGGTTAGCAGTCGTTCAGGTGTTTGCTTAACATTCTGTGAAGATCATTCGGCAATCACTCTGATTCAGCTGTAATCCGCGAATCGCATGATGTGTCCGGCCCATCTGGTCTTGAAAGTCTTGGCAAATACGGCTATTTGGCAGGGTTCTAATAATAATACGGCAGGATTCTGGATAACTGTCTCACCTGTCGAGGAAAACTCCAAGCATTGTTCTTCCGAAGGCGCGTTAAATGACGTTGACTGCATGTTCACTCTACTCTCTGAGAATCCACGTATGCGATACTAAAGTAGTGTAGGAGCTGGACCAGAGCAACCACCGACAAGATTGAGCGGGATGCCAAAAAAACTAGCCGTCTGCTCGTTGGTCAGCCGGACTTCCTTGTAAAGGTTGTGAGCGGTCGTGAGGTGAGATGTTCTTCGTGTACTCTGAGCAAAGAGAACTCATTGGGCTTCACGGCTGATAGGTGAAATATAATATCAGCTGAAATTATGGTCCGGAAATATCTGCTGGCAACCATAGAGGAAGACATCCAATAACAGAGGGGAAAGTCCATTCCTTATTGATTTTATTTGTTTGCTCAGCTGTGCGAGGACAACATGATCTCGCTGCACAATGCTGAATTTCTGCTTGTCATGAACTGTACCAAGGCCTCTCTCAGTATTATGTTAACTTTTCGTGATGATCGTGTGATTTACTAGTAGCTTGTAGAATGATAACTCCCTCATTGCTCAGACTTTGATGTAAAGAAAAAGACCGTTCATGATATCCCTCCCGAGGGGTAACCGAGAACTGTGTTCACTTGGCTCAAATCATTTGGCACCTGGTTACCCTTTACAAGTTACCCTATTCTCGGATATGTGAACTGGAGCTCCACAAATCCTATCCGCAGCCTCAACGTGGCGTGGGGGTGAACGGTTTTGGACTGTTCCAAAAACGTACCAATGCGGAGGGTGCCACGTCAGAGCCTGGCGAGCTACGCGTGGTTAAATTTCTTCTCGCCGAAAACAGTAACAACTATGGGCCTCATTCCCCTGAACCTGAGGGAACCACCGACAGGGCGACGTCGGCTGGGACCGCTCGGGCGAGGCTGCTAAAATCACAGGGCCAACGGAGATTTAAGTCGCCCAGGACTAGGATGACGATCTGTACTTTCAACGCACGGACGCTTGCATCGGAAGCTCACATCGAAGATCTGATGTTGCAAGCCAGGAAGATCAAGTACGACGTCATCGGACTGACCGAGACGAGGAGGCATCGCCCGCTACACGCCGTATACGAGACTGGAGAAGAACTGTTCCTCGGAACATGCGACAGCAGAGGCGTTGGCGGTGTGGGCGTCCTCGTCAACACGCACTTGGCCATGAACATCGATTCGTACGAAAGTCTGACGACCCGAATCGGACGTTTGCGATTGAGAAGATGTGGTTCAACTCCAGCTTTGACAATCTTCGCCTACGCACCAACATCAAGCTACGACGAGGATGAGCTCGAAGCGTTCTATATGGAATTGGAGAAGTTCTACAAGGAAGATCATACCTTCTTCAAGGTCATCGTCGGTGATTTCAAGATCGGACCAAGAAGAACGGCTGAAGAACTTCACATCGGAACTCACGGAACGGAGTGGAATGAGCAGGGTGAAAGGCTGTCTGAGTTTATCATGTCGACCCATACCATCCATGGTAACTCGCAGTTCCAGAAGCCCTACTCTCTACGCTGGACATGGGAGTCTCCTGGTGGACAATTCCATAACGAGATCGACCACATCATCTTCAATCGAAGGTTTTGCCTGACCGATGTCGCTGTTGTTCCTAAGTTCTACACGGGATCCGACCACCGTCTCCTTCGCGCAAGATTCCGCTTTTCGATGCGAGGAGAGAGAGCCGCAAAGTTCAAGAAGCGAAGCCCCAAGACCGTCATCAACTGGGATCACTTCACTTCTCTCGCTGGGCTCTGGGAGGATTCTCATCGACAACATCGACGAGGAATACGAACGGCTTGTTGCACATCTTCACGACTGCGCCAAGAAGTCAGAGGGTTCCAAGATTACCAAGAAGCGTCTATCTCTGGAAACTCTCGAGCTGATTCGCCAACGTGGAGCCGCACGAGCCGCAGGCAATTACCAGCTGACGTCTGAGCTTGCGAAGCTATGCAGAGAAGCGATAAAGGAAGACCTCAAGGAGAGAAGAGCAGCAGTACTGGTGGAAGCCGCAGAGGCTGGGAAGAGCATACGCAACGCCCGCCGCGACTTCGCCAACTGTAAGACCAAGATGACCGCCCTCCGACGTCCGGATGGAACAATCACCGCATCCAGAAGGGCAATGGAGAAGGTCATCCACGACTTCTACTCGGATCTCTTTGACAGCCACGTCCACCTGCCACCATACCGCTTGGAGCAGGATGGATATGTCGTTCCTGCAGAAGTCCGACACGCCATCTCGTCGGTGAAGAATCGTACGGCACCCGGTCCCGACAGGATCAGACCCGAACATCTGAAGAATCTTCCGCCAGTTCTCGTCAAAACTCTGGCTCGACTCTTCACGCGCTACCTGTCGGAATGCAAGGTACCCACCTCGTGGAAAACCAGCAAGACTGTGTTGCTGTACAAGAAGGGAGACCTGTACGACATTGGCAATTATCGCCCAATCTGCCTGCTGTCTGTAGTCTACAAACTCTTCACACGAGTCATCCTGAACAGGATTGGCAGAACACTAGACGAAGGACAGCCATGCGAGCAAGCAGGGTTTCGAAGAGGATTCAGCACGATCGATCACATCCACACGGTAACGAAGCTCATCGAAGTATCGCGAGTACAAGATGCCGCTATGTCTCACGTTCATCGACTTGAAGAAAGCCTTCGACTCCGTTGAGACAGAAGCGGTTATCGAAGCCCTGGGCAACCAGGGTATTCCTACTCAGTACATCAGGATTCTTCGTGAGCTCTACAGCAACTTCACGACCAAGATTTCACCATTCTACAAGGAGATCATCATTGATGTGAAGAGAGGGGTCCGACAGGGCGACACCATCTCGCCCAAGCTCTTCAGCGCCTCTCTCGAGAACGTCATGCGTCAACTGGAATGGGAAGACATGGGAGTGAAGATCGACGGTCGGCAACTACACCATCTCCGCTTTGCTGACGACATCGTTTTGATAACGCCAAACATCGAGCAAGCGGAACGAATGCTGGCTGAATTCGACTGCGCGTGTGGAAGAATCGGTCTACGGCTGAATCTAACGAAGACGATGTTCATGAGAAACGGATTGGTATCTGATGCCCCATTCACGCTCAACGGAGACGACGCTGCATCTGCCAAGGTTTCGGAGATCAGGTGGGCCGGACACGTCATGCGTTTCGAGGACGGCGCGGACCAGAGCAGTCACCGACTGGATTCCACGGGATGTCAAGCGAACGCCTGGACGACCGCCTACGCGATGGTCAGACTTCTTCGTGAAAGCTCTGAACGAACGGTATGAAGTTCATCGTGTCCCTCGAGCTGAGAGAGTTCATTGGGCAACTCTTGCACGTTGCAGGGACGAATGGAGACGTTACTGGCGCCCGCTCGAGGAACTCGATGATCAACGGGAGCACAGGTGATACAGGTGATACTCACTGAACCTCAGCGTTCCGTGTCACCCTCTTTACCCGCGATTGACGCCTACAGTGAGGAACGTTATGACGTACCTAGCACTCTAGTTGTAAATAAAAGTGCGTCATTGCATTTTATCGCTCCTATTCAGTGAACCTGAATGTTCCGTGTCACCCTCTTTACCAGCAATTGA